AAATGCACACAGTTCAAGAGTCAATTTATAGGAGCTTTCAGAATTACCATTTAGCAGAAAATGTGTTGTGGCTTTACAAAATAAAAATACATTGCTGATACAGGTTGGAAGTAGACCTGTTGTAAGTGTGAAGTAAAAATCTATAGTAAGATTTTCTGCTGTGATATCTCTATTAAAAAGTCTTTCTTTGTGTAATGCTTCATAGAGAAGTTGCTTCTATTTAGAGCATTGAGTTTGATCTTGGCTTTGATCTACAGCTTTTGATCTTGAAAGAAGGATGTTGTGGCAGTAAAACAAAAAGGGTAGGAGGGGATTTTTTCTTTTTTTAAGTGATAAAGTTAAAGGGATACTGTTAAGAATTAGTATGCAATAATTGGGCCTACCTTTATTTACTTAGATCTGTTGGCAATGTTGATCTAATTCTATATATGGGAGAGTTTGCTCAAACACATGCTTTAATGAGCCTTATTCTTGAACTGAAGTGCAGCTTTTCTTTTGAAGCTTTCGGGGTATTGCCATGTATAGCACAGAGTATGCCATTATTTTTAAAATAGCATCATTTTAACTATACCAGGTGTGATGCAGTCAGTCCTTTGTTGTCTCTCATTTTAGGTGCTAAACACAAAGCAGGTAACAGAATCCTAACCTAAGAATTCCTCAGTGTCCAGACCGCGCGTGGCTGACGTTGGTTTGAGCAGCCTGTTGTTCAAAGGGTGCAGAAACATCTGTTGAGGTCCCATGCCTACATTCAATCACCTGCTGGCAGTCTATCTTTTAAATATTATCTTGCTACTTGTAGAGGAAAATGCTGTAATTTGAAGTGTGGACTGTGCTGAAACTTCACAGCACACGGGAATACTTCTGAAGCAGAAAGTCTAAATATAAAAACAATAATGTACTTTTCCAGTTGCTCCAGAGAGGCACCTGTATAGTATTGAGAGCACCTGGCGAAATCAGGAGAGAAAAAAACCAGGCATTTTAGCTTACTCTAAAAATATTATTATAACATAGATAATATAATGCAATATGATACATAAATTATATAACATCATGTTACATAGTATTATTTACTAATAAGTAATAAGCATATTATTTAGAGATCCTGTGGCCATGTGGTCATGCCGTTTTCAGTTGAAGCCCACTACCTCTGTAGCCCCTCTACCAAATTCTGATAACAGTAGTGGTTCAAAATATGTGCAATTTGTTCCCATGGGCAATACAGTGAAATGTTTCGATCCATTATTAATCATCTTGTGAACTACTGGATAAAATACTTTTCTGTATTTTCATTTTCTGAACCCTTTTACAAAAGATTGGAAGCCACATGTCTTCAGCAGTTTTCAGCTCACAGAGAGTGTTCTGAGGACACATTGTATTCTCAGTTTCCAAGTAAATTAATTTTCCAACTTAAACTAGTGTTCTTTTTTTTCCTCTAAATCTTCTGTTTGGTAAGAAAACAGTTATGTATCTTGCATTCATCGTAGCTCCTTTAAATTATCCTTTACTGGTATCACAGAGGTGATGGCATCAGCCTTAAAAATTCTTAAAAAGTAGGCAGTATCATTCTAGTAACATAGAACAAAGCTAGACAGGAGTCCCTTTTTTGTTTTATGTGACAAGAGAAAGCATAGAAAGGTACAAAATTGCTATTTGTAGACTGGTGAAGCTACATCCTACTGGATAGCTACATCCTCTAGGAGAAAACATGACATGATGGTAAAATTTTTAGACTTTTCTGTGTGCTTGCTGTTGTCCACGTATATATGAATATATAAATCTGGGTTAGTGCACATGCTGTAAAATCCAGTAATTGAGAGGAAAATGAAATTTGTGGAAATGAGAGGCTGGAAAATGACTCGACTGCATTAGTTATCAATTTCCTCTGCTTTGCAGAAGCCCTTCTGAAATTCATTTACAGTGAATATTTGTATTCATGCTTTTCTTTTCATCTTCTAGTATCTGAGGACTGCTGTCAAGCTAAAATGGCACTGATTTAGTGTTCACCCTAGATAAAACAACCTTCGTAGTTTATCAATATTGAATGTTTTAGCATTAGAATTGCACAGACCAGCTGAATTTATAGACAGCTTATGCAAAGGAAAGTGCATGATTATAATTTTTCATCGAGTTATGAAATATCATTAGTAGCCATCCCAGCCTTAATGATTTAAAACCAGTTTCTGTTTCAAGTTAAAATGAAACAGTTGTGTGTTGCACAAATATCCTATTGTTTTCTAGGCTATGAACAATCCTGAAAAGTTCATTCTGTGCTTGGGATTGGGTCTGACTTGAAGATTATCTGGTGCAAATCATTGCCTAAGTTATTTACCAGTATATTGGACCTGTCTTCACCCAACTTGTAGAAAGTGCTACCTCCTCCCCCCTGTTTCAAAGTTCAGTTATATTTAATCCTGCTGCTGCAAGAATGAAAGATCTTACCATGCATTGACATGTATAAATACTTGTTCCCAATCTGTTACGTAGGAACAGTTCCATTAGCAGTCTCTGAAGGAAAGTCTTCCCAAGAGGGATATGGAGGATGGACCAACCTCTTAATTTATGTTGTGAGGGGATTCAAGTATGACAGTCAGGGTCACGTGGGCAGAAAACAGGACTGTTGATGGAGCATGATGCAGTCATTCTCAATATAAGTTGGGTGTGCCATCACCCTTGTATGTAGTGTAATAAGGAAGAATATAGTAGAAGACCAAATGTTCTCAAAAACTTCTTTTCTCCCTTCCTCCCTTTCCCTCCTGCCCTGCGCTTTTCCTCTTCTCCCTCTCTCCTGCTTCCAGTTTTCCCAGCAAAATTTCTTAGTCTGGTCGTGAGCTAAATCTTATGGAAGCATCAGTAAGCAGAGCTAACGGGTGACTGCACAGCTTGTGTGCTGTGACCACGGCTTGTTTGGCCCACCCTGTTTCTCTCACTGCTTTCTTTCCTCTGCAGGCTGTCTGTATGGGTATGTTGGCTCTTCTCTGATGCTGCAGTGCAGGCATCTTACTGAGCACTCAAGTTCTGATGTGTACAGCAGCCAGCATCAGGGAACCCCAGGCATTGGCTCCACAAGGTATATTACCATTATAAAAAGTCAGAACAGTTCCTTCAGTGCTGTGCAACTACTAACAGGAAATCAGGAGCTACCTCCGAGTTTTAACACATGGTGTGTTTACGTGTTCAGGGATTTTCATCCCAAATCACAGCCTCAGGGTGTGCAGGTCTGAAAATCAACGTCTTGTGTAACTTTTTCTCCCCTAGTTTTCTCCAAACATTTGACAGGATAGGGAGTGTAATTATTTTAAGGATATAAAGTATAATTCTGTTTCAATGTTTCTATGACCCAGTGCTTCCCATAGCTTCTTCTGTGGGAACGTGCAACCTAACCTGTCAACTGACCCAAGGGAAAGTTGTTTACATAGTTGCATTAATTTGTGTTTGCCATTAGCATAATTTTTTGTTCATATTCTTGTTTGGTGTCTTTGAACTATACTTATTCTTCATTCAAATGCACACAGTTCAAGAGTCAATTTATAGGAGCTTTCAGAATTACCATTTAGCAGAAAATGTGTTGTGGCTTTACAAAATAAAAATACATTGCTGATACAGGTTGGAAGTAGACCTGTTGTAAGTGTGAAGTAAAAATCTATAGTAAGATTTTCTGCTGTGATATCTCTATTAAAAAGTCTTTCTTTGTGTAATGCTTCATAGAGAAGTTGCTTCTATTTAGAGCATTGAGTTTGATCTTGGCTTTGATCTACAGCTTTTGATCTTGAAAGAAGGATGTTGTGGCAGTAAAACAAAAAGGGTAGGAGGGGATTTTTTCTTTTTTTAAGTGATAAAGTTAAAGGGATACTGTTAAGAATTAGTATGCAATAATTGGGCCTACCTTTATTTACTTAGATCTGTTGGCAATGTTGATCTAATTCTATATATGGGAGAGTTTGCTCAAACACATGCTTTAATGAGCCTTATTCTTGAACTGAAGTGCAGCTTTTCTTTTGAAGCTTTCGGGGTATTGCCATGTATAGCACAGAGTATGCCATTATTTTTAAAATAGCATCATTTTAACTATACCAGGTGTGATGCAGTCAGTCCTTTGTTGTCTCTCATTTTAGGTGCTAAACACAAAGCAGGTAACAGAATCCTAACCTAAGAATTCCTCAGTGTCCAGACCGCGCGTGGCTGACGTTGGTTTGAGCAGCCTGTTGTTCAAAGGGTGCAGAAACATCTGTTGAGGTCCCATGCCTACATTCAATCACCTGCTGGCAGTCTCTTGTTGGAATAAAGCATTTCCCTGCGGCCTCGGCAAAGGGCTGGCCGTGCTGTTGTATGAATAAAACGCCGGTTTGGTTCTTGCTTTTAAGATGCATTTCAGACCCTCCGAGGGAGTGTAATAGTTGGGATTCTTCGGATGCCGAGAAAGTACTGGGGGAACTCCTGAAGCACTTAGTAGTGGTGATGCTTTCTGGCTGGAACTGGACCCCTGAGGCCGGGGGTCCCTGCCCGGGAAGGCCAGCGGCTGCGGGTCTGTGCGGGAAGCTGAACCCTCCATAGCGAGGGGCTCGACGGCAGAGACCCCCCATCTCCGACGTGAGGCTGGGAGGCAGAGCCCTCCCTCCCCCCCCCACCGGGGCACGGCGGGTTCCGAGGCGCGGAGGATGCCCGGAGGGGGCCCCGCTCCCGGTCCTCACCCGGGCCGTGCCGTGCGGTGCCGGGGGAGGCGCGGAAAGCCCGGCGGGGCCGCCCCGCAGCCGGCCGGCCCTGACGTCTCGGCGGCAGGCTCCTCCTCCTCCTCCTCCTCCTGGCGGGTCTGCCAGGGGCCGGACCGGGGCGGCGGGGGACCCCGCCGAGGTGTTCCATTTCCTACCCGGGGCTGCCGGTAGCGGCGGGACGGGACGGGACGGGACGGGACGGGATGGGACGGGCCCCCCCCACCGTGGGGCAGCGGGGACACTGGGCGGGCTCGCCCGCCTCAACCGTGCGCTTTCTTCCCCCCGTTGTAGCCTTTGCTGGAGGAGGGGGAGACGTGGAAGGAGTGTCAGCTCGTCCGGCAAGTGAGCGGCGAGG